CCTTAGGCATATTTGGCCTGCAACCTCATCAGCAGCCTGGACAGCAGCAAGGGCTTGGCATGCAAAGGCAACAAAGCCCACAACTTCAGCAGTGGCAGCAGCAGCCTGCCATGGGCCTGCCAGGGCAACAAAGCACACAGCAGCAGCAGCCTGGACAGCAGCAGCCTGGACAGCAGCAATGGCAACCAATCTCACAACTTCAGCAGCAGCAGCCTGGACAGCAGCAAGCCATTGGCATGCAAGGGCCACAAAGCCCACAACAGCAGCCAGCAACTGGCATGCAGGGGCAAGCAAAACCACCACAGCAGCAGCAGCAGCAGCCTGGACAGCAGCAATTCTTTGGCATGCAGGGGCAACCAACCTCACAGCCTCAGCACAATAGCATGCAAGGGCCACAAAGCCCACAACTTCAGCAGCAGCAGCAGCCTGGACAGCACTTGGATGGTCGGCTTTGTTGCTATCTGTCTGGCGTCTTTAGCCTACTTACATAACTGCTGCAACCTAAGATATAAATTCTCTAACCTAGGTTATTAACTCTGCTAATCTTCCCAACTTGTTGGAGATGTTATTAAGTCTTCACGCTCCGATATATCTACATACTAAGGAGGACAAGTAGTTGGCCCAACATTGGGCTAGATACGATTCTACTTACACATGTCAGCCATCTGATTTGGCGACTTTAGTATGTTGTTTGGCTTGGTTAGTTACTTGGGCAACTGCAGTTGCTAAGTTCGCCGGACAGCACTTGGGCAAGTTGCATGGCTTACTTAGCAAGTCTGCCCGAGGATACTTAGCGGACCACTTAGCTGCACGCCGTGGCCTACTTAGCAAATAGGCCGGGCTTGCTTAGCAAGTGTGCCCAACCCATTTAGCAAGTAAGTTTTGGCCTACTTAGCAGGTGTGCCCGGCCCACTTAGCAAGTGTGCCAGGCCTACTTAGCAAGCGAGCCAGGGGGGGAAAAAACGTTGTTGACTTGTCCATAAAGACTCCATATGTACACGCTTATAGAGCACATGTACACGCTTGTAGAGTTTATACAAATCCTTTGGGGCGCGGACAAACAACAAGCAATGGCAGCGAAAACAAATGCAAAGAACCTTGCGCTTGGCCACAAGCAAAGTAAATATATGCCCATTGTGTCGCGTGACATATGCCAAGCCATGCCTTGGTGAGTTGAATGGCGTTGTTTTTTAAGAAAACCAATCGAACAATGTGCTTATATTTTCTTTGAGGCTGTACCTTGCGTGGCTATTCCTGGTATGGCAGGAAAGCGTTTCATACGATCCCAAATACCTTTTGCGTGAAGGTGTCATCGCAGAATATGCTTTTGCTGTTGAACAGTGCGCCTAGGGAAGCTTGCTGGATACATATTTTCGCCCAGTCTAGGTCCTTTGCCAACCTCAACTCCCGGTTGCTTGTGTTTCAGTGCTTCATATGTCACGTGAACCTGAAGTGTGTGTTTTCCTTTTTTAAAGATTTGCTGATGTGACGCAATGGTTCTCACTGTGCAGCTTGCAGAATGTGTTCTCGAAACCCGCAGCCATTTGTGATGAATAAAACCAGCAATCTTACAGTAACTTCATAGGGTCGAGTTCTTCACCGGTTGAGAGCGCACAGAAATCACCAAGAGTCATTTGTTTCAGGGACACTGGTCAGATCAACTTTGACATTTGTGTGGCGGCGCCTGTCTCGCTGGGCTAGTCTCGCGAGTGCATGGCGCTTGCAGCAGCCGCCGAGAGTGTGGAAGGATGCTTGGTGCGAGTGCAGGAGGGATCGTTGGCTTCGTCTGTGCAAACAATCTTGGAGACGTTGACGGCACACAAGCTAGCTTGGCATCAGGACATCTTGCCGGAGTTCGTTGGCATTCATCAGTCCAATCGTGACTCAGTTGATGGGGATAGGAAAGATAGAGCCAGTGTAGCAAAACCAGGTATAGCAATCATCTTTAGTTCTACAGTAAGTCATGACCATCCAAGCCATGAGGTTTGTGAATGTTTGTGACGCTTTCTTCAACAAGTGTTGGTCAAAGTGGAGCGTTTTCGGCAAAACCGATTTGAATTCAGAGGTGACGGTGCTGGGATTTCGATTGCCCATTGCCACGCTTTGATTGATGAGTTCAGCAGCGTTGGCTTCCACAAGGCCTTCACTCGAAACATTTGCGTGGAGGTCCTTCCAGGAGACGAGGCCACAGAGCAATTCAACCAACAGTTAATCCTGGAGTCGGCTGGGAAACTACCTGGGCTTCATGCTCTCAGGTTTGCATCGATCAGCGGATCACATACAAATGCATGTTTGCGCTGCATCAAGGCTGAGGTGCTTCACGAAGGCGATCCATCCATTACTGAATCTGGTCGTGTGTCTTTGACAAAGGTCAGGGCCAAAGATGAAAAGCTTGCGGACGCTGCTTGCACTGGCATGAGTTGGCTGGTCATCAGCCGGGACGCTGTTGATCGCTGGCCATCCCTTCCTCAGGTCATCCAGAGCGCTGCTAACAGCGCAAACCATTTGTCAACTGGCGAATCTGAGCTACAGCTTGCCAGGAAGATTTTGGCCAAGTGGAAAGAACAGTCAGACGATGGGAAGCGCATGATCACATGGTCCCAGATCTCAAAAAGCGTTCTGCAGTCAAAACCTTCGCAGTCGATGACTTGTCCTGCCATTTTCTCATTTGTTTTGAACTTCGGTGGCGGTCGTGGCGCTGACTGGTTGTTTGCGACTGAAAGTTGGGTCAGAAGCCACGGTCATCCTGACAAGAACTTGGGTTTTGATGTGCAGCTCGGTTTGTAAAGTGCCTAATTTGATGTTCCTAGGTGCTTAGTACTGTGCTTTGTATATGTAGACTAGGGTTGTGGGAGGTCCCCTGACTGACATTGACATTGTGGAGAAAACTACCAAAAAAAGGCATCCATACATTCGGTCCACACACACATGGCTTTGAAGTATAGTCATTGTTGTCGAGCCTGAGGTGGGACAGTTTGAGCGTTATCACCAAGAGTGGCAAACAGCGTATGAGACTCAGGCATGCCCTCTTGAAGCTCGCTTATTTTGGACCCAATGATCGAATTCTGACCTCTGCAGATTGTCGAAAGCTTCTGGTTGGCAAAGACATGCAGGGCAAGGTTGACCAGTGTGAGGCTATCTTGTCGGAGCTTCATGACATCACCAAGAAGCACACGTGCTCCAAGGAAAAGAGCATGCAACTGGTCGGCATGGCTGAGTGCAAAGTTGTGGCCACTTTGTTGCAGAAGAAGCATCGGGATATCTCTTGGTCATTTGATTCCATGGAGGAAGCAGCGTCCGAGTTTGTTGAGCTCTTCGGCAAGGAGGTTGGAAAAACCCTGGCATGCTCGTTTGCTGCCACTCCCAAGAAAGAGGCGGCAGCCCCATCGCGTGCACCGACGTCTTCATCTGGGGTTGGGAAACTTTTCGGTGGATTCAATCCAAGTTTGTGTCAGAGCCATTCCATGTCGCGTCGTGTACAGGCTTGGATCACGCTGTATACTTGAAATGGTTCATCAGGTTGAATATCAGAATATATGTATATATATATATACAGAGTAGAACATATAGCTATATAAGTTATATTATATATGTATTTATGTAGCTGGGCAACGCTCGCTCCAAAGCCCAAGGATGAAAGAGGTGAACGCAGACGGTCGTGTGACCAACGAGCACGAGACGCTGACGCAAATGGGTTTCGGTGTTGGGGCGTTGGTGGTTCGCGCCAAAGACAAAACTGTTGCCAAAATCAAGTCCGTTGGAAATCGTGTCATTTTGGAGCTCCAGGATGATGCCAATATAGGCAAGGAAGTCACGTGCAGCTCAGGGTCCTTTTTGAAAAAGGAATGGAAGCTGCACAAAGTGAAGAGGTCTGCCGGCGCCGTGCCAGACTGGCATACGTTTTCGCCACATGCTTCTCCAGATTTTGCAGTTGCTCTTCTCAAAGGCCACGTCATGTTGTTGATTTCTTTCTGGCGCAAAGGTTCCATGTTTTGTTTGTGTTTATGAGGAAGTTGCGCCCCATATATGGAGCAGGTGTTGAAGAGTTCCTTGCAGAAATAGTGTCATCTGAACATGTTGTTTCTGTACATTCTCATGATTACGGCAAGAAGATGTTTGCCCAACAGTTCCAAATATGATACTGCAAGATTTGTTCGCCTGGCAGGAAAGATCGTGAATCTCCTCAATGCACAGTGGGCCGCCAAAATCAAGGACGTGGACCATTTTGAAATCTTTCAACAGCCAAAGGACGTGAAGGTTACCCGAGATTTTGCCGTTGGCAAATGTCAGCTTCCTGTCACGACTACCAAGGTATATGTCGGGGACAAGCTTGAGTCGAACCCCTCGCATGTGATGTTGGGGGACTGGACCTTCGGGGATGGTAAATACCAAGTCGCCTTGATGGCTGGCACAGTTTGGCCAAAGGCCGACTCTGAAAGCCCGCCGCCTGCTGCTTTCATCTCTCCGTTTTGGATCTTGCGCAATTCTCACAAGAAGGAAGAGTGCAACATGGAGCTTGCGTATGATAAGGGGTCCAGGAAGCCTTCCTTGGACACCGGCTTTGTCTTGCCATATGCGCGCAATTTCCAGGCGATCAAGCAGGGCGACAGCTTGGTGTTGTACAACGAGCATGCCAAGAGAGAATCTAACGTGGAAGAGTTGCAGCCTGTCAAGAAGCGACGTCGGGAGAAGGGAGCTGACTAAGGTGTGTATAGCTCAATTGTTTCCAGTTGCAGTGCCAAGCGATCGCCCATTCTGAACATAGACATAGGCTTTGTATGACTTGATGGGAAAAAGGATCTGATTCACCATTTAGTAGGCAGTCTTGTTTAGAATGATGAAAAGCTAGGACACACTGGCAACTAGAATGTTTGCGCAGCAATCACGGTAGTTTGGCGTGTTCCTCCGGCAAGCTTTCAATGCTTCCCGTGGCTCTTGTGCAAGGGACACCTATATATAGTTCATCATAGTAGGATTTTGTTCACGCCTTCACCGGTCTCATGTCGGATGCAGAGGGCGCTGATGCGGAAGCAGACTCTGCAGGAGAAGAAAACGAAGGGCCTTTACCTGAACAGATCAGGGTCTTTCGAGTTACAGCTGTGTCGGGGCCTTGCTTGAAGAGCCCTTGGCTTCCAGATGTTCAAACCGTTGAGGGTGTCGAATACATTCGGCTGACCAAATGGTCGCCGCAGCTGACAAAACTGTGCACAGGTCGGACAAAGCAGTTGCACAACAAGAAGGAACAGCACACTATGAATGTTCAATGGTTTCAGGACACCACTCAGCTTCGTCGAGAAGCATGCGACGCAGCTGTGAAAAGGCTTATCCTCGAGAATGTACCCGCCAATACAGAGCCTCCTGCCAAGATCCGACGAGCAATTCAGCAGGATGAGTATATGGTGGGCAGATCTATCCTTGTGAACATGCCTGCTATTTCTGATGGCTGGCCAGAGCGGGCAATCAGGTTTCTCTGGGGCGTCAAAGGCTCAGACCTGTTCATGGAGCTGACTGCTGATAACCTTTCGTACATTCGACAGGCCATCATGGCATCACCAAAGGTCGAGCCAAAGGAAGTTTCTGCGGGCAAGTCACCAAAGAGAAAGAAGAGAAGACGGATGCTTTCGCAGAGTCCCAAGAAGAATGAACGGAACGGAGGCCATGAGCTTGAAGCTGCGGCGGCTGAGAGGGATCCATGAGGTGGTGTATATAGAGTAGTGCTTGTTTGGCGTCTCAAAAGAAAGCCGGTAAGTACCTATGTTCATTGTCACATGATACATTTGTGCGCGCGTCAGCTATGCTGGGCAACTTGCTCGCCTGCGGGTGGTATATGGGGCTTGCGTGCTGCAGTGTAAAGAGAAGGTTTCGTCAATTTAGAAATTTGTTTTTGTGCCGGGCCCACGTCATTGCTTTTCTTTGCTGGGCAACATGCTCGCGTGCTATATGTCAGGCTGTCCTGCATGTTGGGTATGGGGGCTTGCGTGTAGCAATGTAGAATTCAGGCTGCCTTCATAGAAATATGCCTTCGCATCGGGCCCACGTTTGCTTCATTTGTTTCGTCTCTCAAATGGTCTCTGGGTATCTTCAGACAGGGTTAGGAGTCTCAAGAGATGTGCGTATGAGTTTTTGCAACTTTACATGTCAATCTGTTGCATGGATCTTGGCGATTCTTGTTGCTTGGCTCAGCTGCACTGGAGACGGCCTTGCTTTGAACGTGTGCAAGTGGACATCATAAATCATCAGCAAGTGGAACTGTTGCAAGATGTGCTTTCAATTCGTTTTGGTTCTACTTTTGAGCGTTCACTTTATGTAAAAGAAGTATACAGTGCAAAGGCCGACAACATCTCATGTGCAGAAGTAAGTTACTTTGTAGCTATTCAGGGCAACCAACACTTCATGTTCACTTCGAATCTTCACTTCGGGTGGCACGGGTCGCTGCTGGGCAGTTGGAACATACGGTTGCAAATGTTTTCATATTTTGGCACAGGGAACATGCCTCCACACAGTCACATGCCGCTAACGTTGCACTTGGACACGCTTCATTTTTCTTCCAGTGTTTTCGCTTTTGGTAGCCGTCGTTGCTATGCCGAAGCGTGCGCGGGATGACGATGTAAAGAAGGGTGAGTTGGAGGCTGGGTCACACGCTGGGGTTTAGGTTGATGTGAGAGTTGATCCTTTTGGTTGATGCAGCAATGATAAACCTAGCCCTGTTGGAAGCCTGCTGTTCCAAACGTTCACCATCAACTGTTGGTTGGTGTGGTGTGGTGGAGAAAACTGACAAAGGGGTTCACCGCAAACGTTCACAGGTGAAAGAGGAGCCTTCGGAGTCGGAGGAGGAGGCGTGGGGCGAGCGCTGGCGCCCCACTCCTTCTTCGGCGGCGAATCCAGTGTCTCAGCGGGGGCCAGACTTTTGCTTGTTGTTCAAAATACGGGTTTGTATCTTTTTGTGTTGCTTGTTGTTCAAACTACGGGTTTGATAGAGGTTATCGTGGCACTCTTTTTGATCGCCTGATAAGGTTGGTCTAGCAGTTGTTTGAGACTGAGGCTCCTGATCGTTTTGCTCATCTTCCGATTCCGCCGCCGCCATCCATGCCACCTCCTGTGACCCAAGCTGATCTCGAATGGACTGGCGAGTATTGGTATGAAGGAAAGAAAGAGTCTTGGTCAATAGTATTGCATTTGATGTTGTTTCATTGAAGAGTTCTTTCCTTTTGGATGCACAAATAAATGAAAAATATATACATATATATATATATATACTCATATATACAACGTCAAACAAGAGGAGTATTTATATAACACCCCCAAGTCCCCTTGGCCCCTCTCCAACCCCTGAGTTTTTAATTGTTGCCGGGAGACTTGGGGGGATACGTGACATTTTTCTGGTCATTGAAAATCAGTCATTGAGCCCTTGAGGGTTGCAGCTTGCGTCGCAAAGACTCCTAAGGAGGTGTGGCATGGGGATGGCACCGTCACGACTGACGGAAAGCGGATGAGCGTTGAAGCGCTCTTCCGCTATCGCGCTGGCGTTTCCACGCGTGATCGTGGACGGGTGCGTGGCGGGCAGAAGGTGAAGGAGTCTTGACCATGCTTGCGTGATTGTTTTCCTATTTTTTTGGTGTAGTGTAGTGGGTAATCCTTGTGCTGGAGGTACGGAGGGATAGGAGTGCACAGTCGTTGATGGCAAGGGTTGGGTGCCTGAGGCACGGCTTGGTTCGGCTGCTGCTGCGCCTTCGATTGCTGCCCCGTCGAGATCGACATGGAGTGTCAAGAGGACGCCAAAGGCAAACGCACAGTGACATTATGTCCAAATGTGTCCAGTTGATTCAAACTTCTCAGGCAGATGGTGGAGAAAAAGGGGCCGTCCAAACGTCGACGTTTGGACGGCCCCTTTCTTTCGGCTACCCTAGGACTATGTATGTAGTGAGGTGTTCACGAATTTGTGAGTTTTGTCATCCGACATGTTCTAAAAAAGTTGTGGAGTAAAGTCTGTTGGAGTTGCCAAGTTCCCACTGTCTTCAGTTTTCAACCTGCAACGTTTTTGGTGTGAGTGCAAGCGGCTAGCCTGTAGAGTGGGCAGGATGCCGAAAGAACCAGCCCATCCTCCTCCTGCGACATCGATCCGCGATGATTCTTCGACGGCAGCTTCTCTTGATTTGCAATTCAGAAGACTTGTTTTGCGCCTTTCACGTTTTAGTTTTCGGTCTTTTGCTGACGTGGTCATTGTGGGCCCAACTCCTTGCCATGGTGATTTGACATGGTATTGTGAATGAACTTGTCCTTGCTCTATCTGAGGCTTCGATTCCTCCTTCGCGACCTTCGCATGTGCCGGCTGGTTCGGTGGGCAGGGCACCTTATCCGCAGTTGGCAAACGAGTGACTATAGTACGCCTTGGACGTTTCCGGGCTTTGGCACCCAATGCTCACAAGGAAAAAAACAGGAGTCCAGTTTCGTCAGGATAGTCATCATCAATCATCCGACGCTTCAATGTTAGCGGACACCATGCCCAGGCAGTTGCAAAGGCTGCTGCAAAGCGTGCATCGGAAGCGGTGCCTTTGCCTCTATTTTTGACTAGCTCCATTTTTGATTAGCTTCATTTTTGATTGGCTTCATTGAGATGCCTTCCGATGTGTTTGAAGAGTTTGTGATGTGAGCTGTCGTGTGCTGGAACCATCACAGCTGTCAACTGTCCACTTCCGCCAAAGCCAGTACCATTTCAGGTTCCTCCCAAAGCGGCGCCTCCCACCGCAAAGGCAGCTCCTGACACTTGCAGTGTTCAATGCGCGTTTCTATGACTTCTCTTTTTGTTTCCGGAGCGTTGGAGAGAGGGAGTGCTATACACACCCTTTCAACAAGTGGCCTGAGAGGTTTTTTGGGTTAGGCCTCTTGAACTGGGCTACAAGGTTTGGAACCATCACATCCATGCGCCGTGCGCCATCCAAGGACCAGCGCTCCGAGCGAGAACAGCTGCTGTTCATCGCCAACAGCCTGGCTCAGGTGTTGAACCAGCTGAACCAGCAGCGTCCGGATGACCGATAGAAAAAGAAGGTGCTCGACGAAGCTGTCGGTTGATCTTGGAGAGTTGTTCAATGTTTCCTTCGGTTGCCGGTCATTGGGCGCTCGACGCAGTTTTCTGACCTGTGTCAGAACGAATTCGGAATCTCTCAGTCAGTGTGTTGACTTGAGTGTTGTGGTGACGTGAATGTTGTGGCGACGTGAATGTTGTGGTGACGTGCGTGTTCTGGTGACGTGAATGTTGTGGTGACGCGCGTTCAAGGTTTGATAGTTGACGGATTGGCTGAACAGAGGTTCGCTTGCTAGCTGAATTATAGCGGTGCACGGGGCCACCACGCGAAGCGTGATGTGCTGGTATACAGGCTTCCTGGAGTGACAACTCTCCTTGTGAGCGGCAACTTCAGTTGGGGTTGGAAAACTATTTGTGGCAGAGACTTCACCCCCGGAAGCTTCAAATGTCAAACCCTAAACCCTAAACGTCTCGGCAAAAAAACGGGCAGCGTTCCGTTTACTAAGGATCTTTGAAACAAATGCATTTGTGGCGCCACAAAAAACCATATGAGAACTTTGTGGCGCCACAAAATTCCAATTCAGAATTTTGTGGGGCCACAAATTTTGATATCGGAAGAAAACACAATTTTATGGCGCCACAAGAAATCAGTTTGGAAGTTTGTGGCGGCACAATGTTCTATATGTTTTTTTGTGTTTCCACAACTTGTGCTATTTGCTGGGATTGATGGTTGCCTTGTGAAGTTGTCGACTCATGGTATGTCATGGACCTTCCAACACTAGCCAACAGGCCCTATATGAGGACAAGCCACGAATCTGTTGTTCCGATATGTCTTGGTTTCTTGGACAGGAAACAAACACCTAGGCAAGTACAACCTTGTACATGGCACTACTCTTGCACGTGAAACCCAGCCTTGCCAGGTGAGTGTGTGAGCAAGTAAAGCTTTTCAGGTGCTTGGACGGTCATATTTCATTAGCGTTGTATTGTGTAGCACGCCTTTAAGGCTGTGCGTTGGGATTTGATTCGACCATATGTGCACGCCTTGTTCATGGCTGTGCTTGAACTTCTTACCACAGCTGTTTGTTGGCTCCTCTTGTCTCGATAGCTTGTATTCTTGTGAGTAGGGTCGGAGGGATCACTCATGACCACCAAACAGGAGCTCTTGGACATGCAGTGCAGCCAAATGGAAGTTGCGCCTGGCGCTTACGGACCATTCTTGCGCAGCGTGCATTTGCGCAAATGGCGCTTCCAAGTGTTGCTGAGCGAGCTTGAGGAAAGATCTTTCAAGTGTCGTTTTTTTCAGGATGGCATTTGCGGGGAACAGGTACTGTTGATGGAAGGCTTCCTGCTCCAATCGTGCAATGTTTCACCCACCAATTTTGTTCAACAACAAATGGTTATGTTAAGCTGGTGTGAACTTCTGAAGTTAATACTGTCGCTTAATGGACTGACTTGCACTTTGCACAAAACACTATGTGGGGAGGTAGAGGGTTGAAGCAAGACGCAAGTTGTATAAGCAAGTCTTTTTGTATATATGCCTTGGACAATCTGGACGTGCTACCCCAAACATGTCGCAGGACCGTGAACCACCCACCCTGGAGAGCATCGAGAAAGAGTCGTTGGTGGAAAAGTCGCCTGAGAAGTCCGACGGCGCTGCTGGCGAAACGACTGATC